CTGTTGATTCGTGTAATTGGTCTTGGCCGTTGTCCAACAGGGCAGTGCGGCGAAGCTACCACACGCTAGATAATGGCTGAACGCCTCTAAGCCAGAATCTGTGCTGGAAGCGATGATGTTGGTCCCGCTGATATGAAATGAGTAGAAATAAGGCATCTCTGATGCTTGTGTACCATAGCTGGCGAGGGAGGGGCAGTGGACGGAAAGGTCTGCTGTCTACCTCGTGAATTGCAATACCAATATGAGCGGGGAAAAATCTCTTGCAGACGACTTGAATGGGAAGGGGGTGCTGTAAGCAGTAGAGTGGCCTTGTTGCTACGATCTGCTGAGGCTCAGCCCTATCTTCCACGATTTGTTTGGATATTCCAAACTTTCTTTTTGGGGGGTGTCAATGTGAGATCGGCTTTTCTCTACATGTATAGGTCTTTTTCCAAAGGGGTCAGCCTTTGCCTCGCGCGACTTGGCTGGACTTTTGGACATTTTCGATTTTTCGACTTTTTCCAAAGGGGTCAGCCTTTGCCTCGCGCGACTTGGCTGGACTTTTGGACATTTTCGATTTTTCGACTTTTTCCAAAGGGGTCAGCCTTTGCCTCGCGCGACTTGGCTGGACTTTTGGACATTTTCGATTTTTCGACTTTTTCCAAAGGGGTCAGCCTTTGCCTCGCGCGACTTGGCTGGACTTTTGGACATTTTCGATTTTTCGACTTTTTCCAAAGGGGTCAGCCTTTGCCTCGCGCGACTTGGCTGGACTTTTGGACATTTTCGATTTTTCGACTTTTTCCAAAGGGGTCAGCCTTTGCCTCGCGCACAACTTTTGGAAAAAGTCCAAGTCGGCAGGCGGCCTTGGGCAGGGCTGCACTCAAGTATTGTTCTTTTTTGAGTTTTCACTTTTGTTAGACTCAACAATGGTGCTGCACTCGCCATGACCAAGACAACAGTGTGTGTTCCTAGTGTTAGATTGTAGTTTCGTATCTGAGCTCATTGAGTTACACTCTGGACTGGCCGAGTGTGTGTTCATATCCGTGTAATTTCATCATTGAGTCCCACATTCGGCCGGCCGTTGCCAGGCAACTCCCTGCCGAGTTCATCCAAAAGGGCGGGGCCATACAGGGCCTGCATTTTGGAGTCACCTTTTTTTCGACATTTTTTTGACTTTTTTCGACAAAGTACTTCAGAGTGTGCTGACCAACTCAAAGTGGGATCGTCGAAAAAGTCGAGATTTTCGACGCGTCCGATGCGCAATGTTAGACCGCCCTTCAGCACACGCGCGCCAGACACTTTTTCGACTTTACGCGCGCGCGCATCAACGTGTTAGATCTGCGCGACTTTTTTGACTTTTTCGGATTATCGCGCGCGTGAGAATGTTAGACCCTTACAAATAACATCCGAAAAGGGTCCGAAATTCCGTTTTGGCGCGCAAGGGTCCAAAAAAAGCGCGAGCACCCCACCCTGTGGCCGGGAG